AGGGTCACGTGGTGTCGGCCCCGCACAGCGCTTGGCACGGAAGCGTGAGCTGCTGTCCTCGCCGTGCAAGCAGGGGGTCTGGCGACCCAGGGCCGTGTCACCAACAAGGGCAAGGCCACCTCCCAGCAAGCGCCGCCGTGGGAGCCGTGGGAGGGCACACAGCCCACACGCCCCCCAGCTGTGGCAGGCCACAGCTCTGGGGAGACAAAAACTGGGGTTCAGGGCTCAGAGCGAAGGGCTGCAGAGGCGAGGGACCCTCGGAGCACTGTCTCCCTGCCAGGCATCCTGACTCCCAGGAGCAAAGCCAACGCGGCAACCGGGAGGACAACCAGGAGGAGGCGCTGCTGAGGAGCCAGGTGCGGAGGGTGGGCAGGGCGCTCTCAGCCCGGGACTTGAGGACCCACAAGCCAGAGACGGACGGACAGACACGCAGTTCTGTGGCGAGTCACTAAAAGGACTGCCCGCCTGGCTGCCCGGCCCGGCTCTGGGCTCAGCTGCGGTGGCCTGGGCACCATCAGAGCAGGGCGGGCTCCAGCCGTCGTGGGAACTTAGGGTGACGCTCCTGGGAGCCACCTTCTGCGGGGCCTGTGCAGGGCTGGCCGTCTCCGCTCCGGACGGGAAGCCACTGCGGGCGCACGGGCCCTTCCCCAGGTCCGCGGGGGGGCCCTTCCCCGGGTCCGAGAGGGGCCCTGGGGCAGTGCCCCAGCTTCCTGGGTGCGGCCCCCTGGGACGAGCATCACAGTGTGGGGGACGCCCACGGGGACCCCCGCACCTCAGCCCCGACCCCATCGGGGACCAAGGAGCTTCCTTAGGTCCCTGCACCTCCCCACACAGCCGGCCGTGGTCCTGGCCACACCCTCCGTCCTCGCCTCCTCCCTTCCCTGCCACACCCGGGGCGGCCGGCCTCAGGGTCCTCCGTGTTTGGGAATCTGACCTGCCACTCACTCCCTGGCTCCTGGTGCCCGTGGGTGGCCTGGCCTGGGACCAGGGCGCCGGCTCCCTCGCCCGGGATGTGGGGAGGAGGCCATGCCCGGCTTCCCCTCCTGCACTTCCTGCACCAGAGGGCGCGGGCGTGAGGGGTCAGGGCTCCTCCGTGAGTCTATTTTAGGCTCCGGCTTGGGGTGGGGGGGCCTGGGCCGGATGACGCGGCTCCTGCTGTCCACTGTTTACATTGCGTGCAAGTGACAGGAAGAAGGACCCACTGTGCAGAGCCCGTGTCCGCCGGGGCTGGGGCTAGACACTGAGGGCACAGCCCGTGGTGGACACGGGGAGACGCTGGGCCCAGGGGCCACACTCACTAACGAAGTCGGGCAGGTGACGTCTATAAAGACGAGCATCAGCGTTTCCATGTCCGTGTTCCCGCCCAAAACCTTACAAAGGTATAAACCTCACTCGCCTGTCAATCACTGTGAACTACAAACGGCCACTGAACGCCTATGTGGCCTTTAATGAGAATAAGGTCACTTTACGGAGGTCAAGGTGGACTTGCCTACCTCCGCCTGTGACCCCTGATCAACAGGCGTGTTCGTGATAAAGCGTGAGAGTGAGAGCATCTTTCTTCCTCCCTCCCTCCCCTTTTCCTCCCCTCCTTCCTCCCTCCCTCCTCCCTCCATCTTCCCGCCCTCCTATCTGCCATCTGTGGTCTTCGGGGAGCTCCCCGCGGAGTGGAGCCCAGGCCAGCCCTCCGTCTCCCCTTCGCTGCACTTCAGGGGGAACCTGGGGCTCTGGGAGGAAGAGCTCTGACCTTGGGTCCTGGTCTGGACTCCCCACCACAGTCCCAGGCCCCAGGGCACGACCTTGACCTCTGGGACTTCTGGGGTCGCCTTGGACAGACCCCAGGGAGTGGGTCTGCTTGGCTTGGAGCCCCCCCGCCCCCCAGGGGCCGGTTTTCCTGGGGATTTGCTGTCTCCCCTCCCCTCGCTGCTGCTCCAGGTTCTCGCTTTCCAGTGACCATGAGGCTCACACACCACGTCCCGTGGACAAGCAGCCCTTTCCTGCCGGCCAGCCACGCGGAGGCCCCTGTGAAAGCAGCCTTTGTGCGGGAAGCTGTGGCGTGTTTCAGCCGAGCCCTCGTTTTGCAATTCTTCTGTTAATTGTCTGCGAACAAGGAGCCATTTACCAGCCTCTGGGAGGCGGGGCGGACGGGCCAGCGGCCAGAGGGGGTGGCCGGTGGAGGCCGAGGAGGAGGCGCCATCTCGGGCCTTTTCTGGTGAAACCCCCGTCCCGTGTTCTGGGCCCCACACAGGCTCCCGAGCGACCACGGTGAACACGCACACGCCTTCCCAGTCTCGCCTCCTCTTACAGCCCCACGTCAGACACACACGCGTGCTCCATGCGAGGCCGCTTCCTGCGAGTCCCCGGGAAGCTTTCTCCCAGACCCGGTCTCAGCCTGTGGGTCGCGGCCCCTTTGGGGGCTGAACGACCGACCCTCTCACAGGGGTCACCTAGGACCATCGAAAACACATCTATAATCACATATTGTTTTGTGATCAATCAAATGCGTTAATGATGTTCCATCTGTAACAATGACATTGGGGGTCACCACAGCATGAGGAGCTGGATTACAGGGTCGCGGCCTTAGGGAGGTTAAGGACCACTGCTCTAGAAGCATCCGAGGTCCCACTCCCCCGACGGGCTGGGTGTGCGGCCCACAGGACTCGGGGTCCCTGTCTGTGAGGTCCTCATGCAAACGGGGAGCGATCCTTCAAAACCTACGGCCCCTTTCCCTTCCCCCAGGCACACGAGGACCAGAAAGCGCGACCGAATGGCTCCCGCCCGGACCCTCGCGAGGACGTCCCCTCTGGGAGGAGGCACACGTCCCGTGGGCAGGCGCCCGGGAATTCCTTCCCTCACAGACGGTCTCCCCGGCAACGTCCACACACAGGATGGTGCCCGTCCGCCCAGCGAGTCTCCGAGTGGCTGACCAGCCCCTGGCAACCGGGAGAGCCGGCCTGGCGCCTGCCTCGGGGAGCTCCCGGGACGCGCTCTTCCCTGCCAGCTCAGGAGCTGCAGGGGCCGGGGGCTGAGGGGGCCTAGGCCGAGGATGGGGTGCACCTGAGGCTGGGGATGCTGAGGGCACCCAGAGCACCGGGGCCAAGAATGGGGTGCACCCAGAGCTGAGGTGCTGGGGCGGGGAGAGGCCTCAGGACAGCAAACCTGGCCCAGCCCCTGTGCTCCTTGAGTGCCCTTCCTTCCACGGGGGAGCACACCCAAGGGCTCGACCGCCTCCCCCAGCTGCAGGCTCTGCGCCCTCAGCAGCTAAGGGAGGCTGCTCCCCATGTCAGAAAGTGGGGGCTGCTGCTTGTAAGGCC